AGGGTTGAGGGTTTAGGGTTCAGGTAGAGAAGGAAATCCCAAGTAGGACAAACAGAAGTCCAACATAGGACTCACTGGCAAGTACCCGGTTCCCAGGCCCTCAGGAGGCCAACCGTCAGAGATTAAAAGGGTCACAACGGAAACAAGGTCTACTGGGGCTTAGGGGCTTAGGGGCTTAGGGGTTTAGGGGTTTAGGGGTTTAGGGTACCATAGTGCCCTAAGGAAATCTACTCAAACTACGGAGTACTTACTCAGACTCCCGATGGCCACAGGTCCAGGAATTGCATTACTCCTTCGCGTTCTGGACACACAGCGCCGAGCCGAGTCGTTATTTATTTAGCGAAGTCATCAAGTCGGCTGGTCTTCCTTTAGGGTTTAGGGGTTTTGGGGTTTTGAGGTTCAGGGTTTAGGGTTTAGGTTCCACATCCAGGCTCAAAACGCTGAAATTGCAATTCTCTCGCTTGGGCATACGCAAACAAAGGGGACTAGTGGTGAGTAGGCTGAATTGGGGGTTTCCGAAAATAGGGGACCCTAATATGGTACCGTAAATAGTAGGTCCTTATTATACGGGCCCCAAAATAAGGTTCCCTAAATTTCGGAAACTCCCTATTTGCAATTCCCTTACGTCCAAGGCCAACACCCTGAATTTGCAATTCCCCCAAGTCTGTTCTGCTGGGTACCTGGGGGAAGGTGCCATTTCAGCGCTGTCAGGGTCCAAAACGCTGAAATTGCTTTTCCCCGCATCTGTGCTTCCGGGGCATAGGCCCTGGAGGCGGTTTGCGGGGAGGGAAGTGCAATTTCGATGTTTTCAGGGCCAAAAACGCTGGAATTGAATTTGCATGTGGTGATTCTTGATGTCCATGGCCGATCTGTGCCGCAAACAGGAAACAACATCCACCAGAGATGACATGAACGGCGGGTCGAGTCGGATGGTCTCCTAGTTGTACTTGGAGGATCATGGGACTTAGTAAGTAAGGTTATAAGTCCCCTAATTGGGGCTATAAGTACAGTTATCTTAGTTGTTACCCTACTTACTAAGTCCCATGACCCTTTAAGTAGCCTTCTCGCAAACGCTTCTTCACCACGCGCACCTCGTACTGGGGAACATTTTCGAGCACACCAAGTGTGGGAGGCCTTGGCGCACCCCAGTCGTCCCTCTTCGGGATGTGTGCGGCGCAACCCACGAAGCGTAAAGGGATGTGAAGGGAGCCGGTCAAAGGTTGAGCCGCATTTGTGTCAGACTTCGGACACGCGGACTCTATCTATAAAGTCCCTGAGAGAGGATCGACTAAGAATAATCAAACCCTAAAACCTACGCCCTAAACGCATGCACGTGTGTACAAGACTCACACGACTGGAAAAGGCATCCTGCGCTTGGCGCCCTTAAAAAGGGGGGTTGTAGCATGTACCTTAAACTACCATAACCTACTTTTTTGTAGGTCCTTAGCGACCTTGGGGTTCAGGGTGTCGGGCTTCGATGATGCATAGTGGGAGCCCCCAACTTAGGGTTTAGGGTTTAGGGTTTAGGGTTTAGGGTTTAGGGTGGGCTGGTTTAGTTTTTTTTTTGAACTCCTTTTTCCGAAGCCCGAGGGTTAGGGTTTAGGGTTTAGGGTCTCGCATCCTACATTGTTGGGCATAGTGGGAGCCCCCTACGTAACTCCTGTTTTGGGCCTGGGTCTCGCATCCTACCTTAAACTGCCAAACCCTACTTTGTTTTGTAGGTTCCTATTATAAACCCTAATATGGAATTTAGAGGGACCCTGCAAAAAAGTAGAGTTTGGTAGGTTAAGGTACATTGTTGGAGGCAGATTAATGTAACATGGAGGGTTTGGGGTTTAGGGTTGGAGTTTCGACTTCTGGTTCAAGCTTGTACGGTTCACGGCACGCGGTGTTTCAGGGGACCCCGTCTTTACGGCGTCGCTGACCGAGCAAAAACGGCTTCTACAGGGTTGCCTCCTGGCGTCTTCACAGGATGTACGGGGCTTCCTGATAGAGTTTCTAGATTTCAGAATCCGTAGAGACATGATCCACCATGAAGGAACCCCCCCACACCCTGAAGCCCAACCTCCAATCCTAAAGCCCCAATCTCAGAAAATTTTCTTTAACGAAGTTCGACGTGGATAGTTCACGAAACGTCAGCGCATGCATTGGGGTTTGGGGCTCAGGGTTCGGTGTTTTCGTTGTGGGGTGTGGGTTAATGTTTGGGGCTTGGGGTTTAGGGTTTAGGGTTTAGGGTTTAGGGTTTAGGGTTTGGGCTTAGGGCTTGTACGGTTAAGGAAACGAACATGACCACACCCGTGTGGTGGGCTGCTGGTACTTTAAACCCCCATAAACATTGTAGGCACCCAAAACCAATAGCCTGCTTTGCACCCCAAGCGCTAGTCCCAAACCAACATCACCAAACATCTCAAAACCCAACCCTTAACCTTAAACCCCACAAAACCCAAAACTCAAACACACCAACGGGCTCAGAAATCTGAATCCCCTTGCAGGAACCCGCAATGGAGCTCTGAAGAAAACGGAACCCCTAAATGAACCTTATTATAGATCGCTTCTAGGAGCGCCCCCCCCCCAACAAAACAAACAAACAAACAAACAAACAAACAAACAAACAAACAATCAATCAATCAATCAAACAAACAAACAAACAAACAAACACACACACACACACTAAACCCTAAACCCTAAACCCTAAACCCTAAACCCAAAACCCTAAACCCTAAACCTCAAACCCTAAACCACCCCTTCCAAAACAAACAATGCTTCCCGTGCTGGAGCCTCGATGGACACCAGCGGCGAGACCATGCCCAGGAGTCCGATCGCCTCAGAAAAGGTCTGAGGGGCTTTCGGCTTGGGGCTTTTGTGGGTCTTGGGACAATATAGGGATTAGGGTTTGGGGTGCTTGGGGCTTTTGAGGGTCTTGGGACGGTTTAGGGATGAGGGTATGGGGTGTTTGGGGCTTTTTCGGGGGGGTACTGGGGTTAAACTCGAAGCCTACACTCTGAAATCTGAACCTGGAACCTCACGGGCCTTATGGAACAAGCTCCGGAAGACCATACCGATTATGGATGTGTGCGCCCCAAGTTCCTCAATGGTAACATCTCCACCGTTTCTGTACCCTTTGGCCCCAACACCTTGAACCCTAAACCCTCAAACCTAAACCCTAAAGCCCTAACACCGACGCGACTGGAGGCTTGCCGACATGTGGTCACACAATCCGAATCCAGGTGAAGTTCGACAGAGCATCCTGGACCATCTCCTTTATTCATTGCGAGAGTCCAGGCACTCAAGTAGGCACCAAACAGGCCCCCCCGAAGCCGAAATTCCTGATTTCAGGGGCGTCCGGGATTGAACAACCCTAAACCCCGAAACCGAAACTCTAAACCCACGATTAATTCCTCCATTCCGGGCCTAACTGCCCTACAAACTCGCTAAACCCTGCTTGAATCCC